AAAAATCTGCACAGGGATTCTCTAGCAGAAGCCATAGATGTTCTGGTAGCTCTGTGGGATCATTACAACTTGATCTATGCCTTTCCTTCTCCAAATATCCCAGAATGGAAAGTTAATTTTTATCTGAAGTCCATCAACAAATCTTTGCAGACCGGAGGATGGGATTTGGTGCAGCTCATGAGCTGGAAGCCATCCAGGACTCCAAATTTTCACTATGTCCAACCTGAGCCAGTCCTCCAAAGCAGCAGAGCACATATCAAACTGATGAAAGCAGTAGTTGGGGGTGCGACATAAGCAGGCATTTAAAGTGTTAAGCACAGGCAGGCAAGCCTCAGTGTAGCACACTGTTGAATGTTTACGAGGTGCATATGCCACTAGTCCATCAGAAATAGGGATGCACCGATACCAATACTAGTATCGATGGCGAGTACTTCAAATGCTTCCGGATTGGCCGGGAAGCCTGCTCCCTCGTCATGAGGTGACGCGTGAGCATTGAGCTGGCTACCTGGCCAATCAGGAAGCTGGGAGTTGTGTAATGACGCAGCGCCCGGCTTCCTGATTGGTGGGGAATACGGCTTCATGCTCCCTCGTCACCTCATGACAAGGGAGCTGCATCATTACAGAGTTCAGCTTCCTGATTGGCCAGAAAGCCGGCTCCATGCTTATTCGTCACATAGTGCCGGCTTCCCTGCTAATCGGAAGCCGGGTGGCAAGTAATTACAAACCGCCTGGCTTCCTTAAGACTTTCGGTATCGGCGAGTACCGTAAAAAAAAAAATTATATATTGGTACTCTATACCGAAATACTGGTATCGGTGCATCCCTAATCGGAAACATTGCTGTACTTCAAGCATTCATAGTAAATCTTATGCTTCTGTTTGAAAAGCTTTGTTTACACCCTCAGTCTTGCTGCTTTCCCATGTTGGTTTTCTAGGCTGTGCGTTGCACGGTGTCTGAACACCACCAGTCATAAAACTGCTTGATTGGTGCTTGCATGCTTATATTGCACCCCAAACATTGCTTTGATCAGCTTCATGTATGTACTCTGCTGATTTTGGATGACTGGCTCAGGTTAGACATACTGAAAATGACTTGAGACGGTTGGCTGGTTACTAGCTCATGAGCTGCACTAGATCCCATCCTTCTGTCTTGCAAAGATTGGTTGATGGACTTCAGATAAAAATACATTTTTTACTTGTTTACATACTGGAAGCACCCCAGTCTTGTGGCAGATCGGTGAACAGCTCTGTGTTTTAGTAGTCCATGTTTACATGGTACCGGTACCGCCAGTCTGGATCTGTGGGAAGGGATGCTCGAGGTGGTGGGATGGCAATGTTGTCATTTCTTTTTATCTCACAATGGGATGTATACTTTTTTTTTTTTTCTTCAGTGAACATGTTTTCAGTTCAAATGTGTCTGTCGTCATGTATGTTCTACTGCAAATCTAAATCCGTACCCATTTCTGGTAGCACCTCTTATCTATTCTCTCTATATAGATCTGTTTAAACTGACTATGTGCTCCCAGGGCGACACCAATCCAAATGTTAGGCCAGAGGTTACAGATTCCAGGCCTGCGTCTGTTTTGCCATATACAAAGCTGGAAAACAAGTTTCCTCCTCTGATCAACAGGTTCTCGGACTCCCCTGACCGCCTCTGTGCTGAGCCGTCACCCGAGGGTTGGTTGGTGTGATCTCGACTCTCCTGCTGACACTGATTGCGCAAGACTCAACTTTGTTTTCTTAACCGCACCAGCCTGTGAGCAGGTCCTCTGTGTACTGAATGGGGGGGGGAGGCTTTCACAAACAATATGTACATTGCAAATACAGTTCTTGATGAGCAATGAAACCTGCAAGTGTTGTAACTCATCTTTAGTTCTATATTGGATTTTTTGAGGGGGGTGTGTGTGTGGTTCATTTCTTATCACCCGGTCATGTTTGGGGTCTTTTCTCTCTTTGTAATATTTGATGTTGTATTGGGCTAGCAATTGCAACCTTCAACCTATTGCCCCAGAAACCCATGAGCCTTGCTACTAGAATTGTCAAATCATAACTTGGATATGAGGGGGGGGGTCATTATTATTATTTATTATTATTATTATACAGGATCTATATAGCGCCAACAGTTTTCACAGCACTTACAATATAAGGAAGACATTACAATAACAATTCAAGACGATAAGGATTGCCCTGCCCCTGAGGGCTTGCAATCTAAAAGGGAGGGGCCAGTGATACATGAGGAGGGAGCTGTGTGGGGATGAATTGTTTGAGAATGTGATGGTTGAGTGGTCAGGTTGAGGTGGGATAGGCTTCCCTGAAGAGATGAGTCTTAAGGCAGTCAGAGTTGGAGATAGTCGGACAGCATTTTTAATTGCAGCTACACCTATTCTTATTAAAGTGAGGGGGGAAGGACATGCAGTGTGAGGGCAGAAAGTAAGGAGACCTCCAAGGGGTGGGGGTACGGATGGCAGATATGGAACCAGTCACTTTACCCATTGAGAGCAAATAACATTTTCATACTAGACTGCTGCCGACCTACTTCCACCCTCTCTCCCATTGCTCCCTTTGTAGTCACACTCTATGCTTACACAAGATTGATGATGTTGCCTTTGTCAGGAGAGAGGCTTGGCAATTGGCTTCTCGGGGCCGAGCACTGCTTTCTGGGGCAGAGGTTACATGCTCGTCCATACCCCCGAAGCACAAGTTATTTGCGGTGGCTCCAATGGAGCACCGGCTGAGCGCAGCAAAGGCTTGAATAAGTGCAATATTGCAGTGGTTTAGTGTGGCTCTCTTTTTGCTGTGGATGGTAAAACTGATAGATCTTTAAAGCCCGGCAGAGGGAGAATATAGGCTGCTGTATTAAACCCCAATTGAAGCATTTTTGTGGCTATAAATTGTGTGCACTTAGAATAGTAAACGCTTCCTGTGCCAGCACCACAGCTGGACTCCTGTTCTCACACAGAACACAGCTCTCCAGAGATCTGATATTGGCCCCCTTCTTGCACAGTGCTCCCACAATGCCCATGCTCCCTGAGCAGTGTTGTTGTTTAGAGCCCTATGTAGGGGTATTGGACTGCTAGAGACCCGATACATTGTGTAAAAGTGGTTCGGTACTTGTTTGCTGCTGGCATTGTTGCAGCTTTTACAGGTTTAACGCCCCATAGAAATGCAATATTCTTGTTATGCACCCCGACTGCATAAAAACGTATAAAAACAAAAGCTTTAGGTATAACTAGTGTAGGAATTTGATGTATAACATCAAATTCTTGAGGTCCCCTGTACAGCAGCACTGAAGCTGCCCATATACCTTACAACCATCGCACGACTTTCATCCTGCGATGGTTGTAAGGCAATTAAAAGCTCGTACGATCCGCCCATCTTGGACAGGCAGATCGTACTTGCGATCAACGCAAGCCCTCCCCGCTGAGGGGTGGGCTTCCGATGATTGCAGTGCTGAGCGGGCAGTGTGCGCTTGCGGCATTTGTCTCCTGTGAATGCCACTAACCCGCTGAAAATCGTACGATTCTTGGCGAGTTTTCAAGCGTGCTCGGGAGACAAAAGACGTGCGACTGTACAGTAGAAACGGTCGCACGCCTTCCATGCACTGCACGATTATTGTACGATCGCGGGATCACCCATGATTATTGTCTGATAATCGGCAGGTGTATGGGTGCCTTTTAGACAGAGGTAAGGGCAGTACTGAGCGCCTATCAAGTGTCGTCCTAACATTGGACAGTGAAGGAGCAGCAGACATGCAAGGCCTTGGGAAGGTGACCCTACTGTGTTCCTCAATTGCAACAAGAAAAGTCTGGTCACCAGGCAGGCTGTGTAATCTCGCAGGGCTTTGTAAATCTCCGTATTGATTGGACAGGAATATGAATGCTGGGGTAGATAACCACTTGCCGTCCGACTGGTTGTAAACAAATGGCCAGGCAGCTGACTCACAAGGGTGTTTGGGTGTTTAGAGTGTCCTCACGTGTGCGTCACCCCCTATGTGATGGCAATAGAGTTAAATGTAGACGCCCTGGTCTTCAAAGGGTAAAAGAAAAACAACCCTCACCCATATATGCGTTGTATCTGTGTTGGGTGGTGTGGCTGGAGTTTGGCTTTAATTCCAGCTTAATTTACAGATTATTGAGGCGCTGTCCTCTGCAAATTAAGGAAACTCTCCCTGGGAGGCTGCTGACTGCTGCAAATTATTTATTGCTCAATATGCAAATGCTACAAAGTAAGTCCAACCATGCTTGAGTTGCCAATTCAATCTCCCGTTGCCAGCTTATAAACTTGATCAGGGCTGCATGTGTTGGCTGACGGTCATTCCTACCTGGTGGTTTTTACAGAAATCTGTGTTAGCGGGCTGTCTCTGTACTGTGTAAGGGGCGGGGCCTGACTCTGTCTCCGTCCCTGATGCGTGCAGTGATGATGCACCCTGTGGCAATGTCACCCAGGACACAGACAGGCTGGGGTGGATGGATGGCTCTCTGTCTGACCTGATGTATTGCCTGTGGCCCAGATGCTGTACTAGTCACTGAGCAGGTTCAATAATTCCTCTTCAATGCTGCCAAACATGATTTAGCAAGTTTCAGAATACCCAAAATGAGGGA